TATGAAAACAGGTCAGAGGCTAGGACTCCTGCAGCAGGTAACTCACCTCCTGACTCTCCAGAGCCTGTCCACCATCCACAAGCCACAAGTCAGGAGTGTAATGGAATACTCCCCACTTGCCTGGATAGTGCAGCCCCAACAGCACTCAAGGAGCTTGACACTATCCAGGACAAAGCAGCCCGCTTAATTGGCATCACATCCGCAAACATCCACTTCCTCCACCACCAATGCTCAGTAGCAGCAGTGTGTACTATCTACAAGATGCACTGCAGAAAATCACCAATCATCCTCAGACAGCACCCTCCAACCCATGACCACTTCCAACTAGAAGGACAAGGGCAGCAGATACATGGGAACACCACCACCTGCAGGTTCCCTTCCAAGCCGCTGACCATTCTGACTTGGAAATATATCACCATTCCTTCACTGTTGCTGGGTCAAAGTCCTGGAATTCCCTCCCTAATGGCATTGTGGGTCACTGACAGCAGGTGGGACTGCAGCAGTTCAAGAAGGCAGCTCACCACCACCTTCTCAATGGCAACTCTGTGTGTGTGTGTGTGTGTGTGTGTGTGTGTGTGTGGGGTGGCTAGAGAATTAGCCATTGGGCAGGAAGTAGGGAGTATGGATAAGGGGTTCTTTTTCAGGTTGGTGACCTGTAACCAGTGGGGTTCCCACAACAATCATTGCTGGGATTTGTTTAATTTGATTTGATATGTTGTTGTCTTGTGCACGAACTTACAGTGAAAAGTTTTGTTTTCCATGCTAACCAGACAAAATCATACCATACATAAGTACACCAGGGTAATAGAACAGAATGTAGAGTATAGTGTTACAGCTACAGAGAAGGTGCAGAGAAAGATCAACTGTAATAAATGAGAGGTCCTTTCATAAGTCTGATAACAGCAGGGAAGAAGTTGTTCTTAACTTCGTTGGCACGTGTTTTCAAACTTTTCTATCTTCTTCCAGACGAAAGAGGATGGAAGGGAGTATAACTGGAGTGGGAGGGGTCTTTGATTATGGTGGCTGCTTTCCCGAGGCAGTGGGAAGTTTAGACAGAGTCAGTGGAAAGAAGGCTGGTTGGTGTGATGGAATGGGCTGCGTTCACAACTCTCTGTAATTTCTTGTGGTCTTGGGCAGAGCAGTTGCCGTACCAAACTGTGAAGCATCCAGATAGGATGCTTTCTATGGTGCATCTATAAAAGTTGATGAGTCATTGTAGACATGCCGAATTTCCTTAGCCTCCTGAGGAAGTGGAGGCGTTGGTATGACTTCTTGACTGTACCAGGATGGATCATTAATAATATTTACTCCCAGGAACTTGTCGCTCTCAACCATCTCCACCGCAGCACCATTGAGACAGATAAGGGCCTGTCTTCCACTCCACTTCCTGAAGTCGATGACTAGTTCCTTCATTTTATTGACATTCAGGAAGATTTTGTTGTCTTTACATCATGCCATTAAGCTCTCTATCTCCTTCCTGTCTGTCTCGTTGTTGTTTGAGATCTGACCCACTACGCTGGTGTCATCAGCAATTTTGTAAATGGAGTTAGAGCGGAATTTGGCCACACAGTTGTGAGTGTACAGGGAGTGTAGTAGGGGGCTGGGTACCCAGCGTTGCGGGGCACCGGTGTTGAGGATTATGGTGGAGGTGTTGTTGTTGCCTATCGTTACTGATTGCCGTCTGTCGCTCAGGAAGTCAAGAATATAGTTGCAAAGGATGGAGCAGAGTCCTAAGTCTCGGAGTTTGGAGATGAGTTTTGTTGGAATTATGGAGTTGAAGGCGGAGCTAAAGTCAGTAACTAAGAGCCTGATGTAGGTGTCCTTGTTATCCAGATGTTCCAGGGATGAGTTTAGGGCCAGGGAGATTCTGTCTGCCTATTGTGACAGTAGGCGAATTGTACTCTGGGAGGCTGGAATTGATATGTACCATTGCCAACCTCTCGAAGCATTTCATTATGTTTACAATATATATTAATGACTTAGACAAAGAAAGTCAAGGTACTGTTGCCAAATTTGCAGACGGCAGAAAATAGGTGTAAAGGCAGGTTGTGAGAGGGATACAAACAGTTTACAGGTTTATTAAGTGAGCAAAAACTTGGCAAGTAGAGTTTAATGTGGGAAAATGTGAAGCTGTTCATTTTGGAATGGAGGACAAAGCACAGAATGTTATTTAAATGGAGAAAATACTGCAGAAAACTGCAACACAAAGGGAATTGGGGGAATTTGTGCCCAAAACACACAAAGCTAGCACACAGGGTGAGCAAGTAATCTGGAAGGCGAATGGAATGTTGGCCCTTATTTCAAGGGTGGTTGTAGGAAAGTGGCACCATACTTGGAGTACCGTGAGCAATTTTGGTCCCATTATTTAAGGAAAGATATAATTTCATTGGAGGCAATTCAGAAAAGGTTCACTAAGATGATCCCTAGTGTGGTCTTATGAGCAAAGGCTAAACAGGTTGGGACTCTACTCCCTAGAGTTTAGAAATATGAGAGATGATCTCAATGAAACATTCTTACGGGGTTTGACAGGGCAAACACTGAGAAAACATTTCCCCTCATTTCCTAGAGTCTAGGACAGAGGGTGTAGTCTCAGAATAAAGGGGCATCGATTTAAGATTGACACGAGGAGGAATTTCTTGTCTCAGAGGGTTGAAAGGAAGTCATTGAGCTGATGTATGAACAGGCACAGGTGGGACTATTTACTGATGGAAATGCCAAGGTGGGGGTGGTTTGTGTGTTGAAGCCAAAGGAGAAGTGATGGCAATGTTAGCCTGTGTAAATATAACAGGAACTACAGCGTGCCTGATCTGACTGACGCAGCTCGGAAAGATCTTGTGCCAGTGAAAGTTGTGTCCTGCAGGATTGCTGGCTCCTGCGGGACACACTGTCTCAGATTTGGCTGTGTCCAAACAGAAGGATCTGCTATGGCTTTCACTTTACAGCCAATAAAATACTTGGATTGAATTCACCTTGGTTGAAGGATAAATATTGACCCATCCTCCAAGGATAATGACATGCTAATCACAGGGTCTTTCAGAATCACTTGAGAGCAAAGACAACGTCTCATCTGAGCAGCAGTGCAGCACTCCCTCAGTGCTGCACTGGACCAATGGCCTAGCTTTTTATGCAAAAGGTCCTGGAGTGGGACTTGAACCATAATTTCCCAACTTTGAAATGAGACTTTGACTGACTGAGCTGCAGCTGACACACAGACAGTTAGCTCCTGTGGGATATCCACTCACAGCAACAAGGAAGACAGATGGATTTCACTCAATCATCACTCCAGCTGCATCCACCATTCCCAGACAAACTCCCGATCCTCAGTTTCTGCAGGAGTCCCTTTCTCCTCAACACTTCGAGGGACCGCTCACAGCAAACGGAGACCCAGAAATAATGTGGAAGAGTATAGGTGAGCTAACTGGAATGTAAATCTGAAGATCTTCCCTACTATACTGTATGGTGTGCAGAATACACACGATATAGCCAAGGCTGAAAGTAAAAACTAAATCCAATATTGCTACCTAATGTGCTTTATTTGTCTAACGCATGATCTGGGAGAGTGTAGAGGAAACTTTTTTTCTGTATCCAACCTTGTACTGTCCTTGTCCTGGAAGTGTTTCTGTAGAGGATGCTTTACTTCCAGTTTATAAGAATAGAAAGAGATTTACTCTGTATCTAACCCAGTGCCGTATCTGTCCTGGGAGTGTTGACAGGGAAACTGTAGAAAAAGCTTTATTTCCAGTTTAAAACTGTAGAGGAAACTTTGCTCTGTATCTAACCTGGTGCTGGCCCCGTCCTGGAGTGTTCATGGGGACAGTGTGGAGAGAAGTTTACTCTGTATCTAACCCTGTGCTCCCCCTGTCTTAGGAATATTTGATGGGGACATTGTAAAGGAAGATTACTTTAAGTTTAAAAGAGTACAAAGGGCTTTACTCTGTATGTAACCCCGTGCTATCTCTGTCCTGGGAGTGTTTGATGGGGACAGTATGGAGGGAGCTTTACATACAGTCATACATCATGGAAACAGGCCCCTCGGCCCACCGTGTCTGTGCTGACCAAAAAACACCAGACCACACTAATCCCATTCACCTGCATTTGGTCCACAGCCAACCATGCCGTGGCATTTCTGCAGTACTGTGTGCAGTTCTGGTCATGCTGCTATGGGGAAAATATTATTAAATTAGAGAGGCTTCAGAAAAGATTTACGAGGAGGTTTCTGGGATTGGAGGGTTTGAGTTATAAAAACAAGTTGGATAGGCTGGGACTTTTTTTCCCTGGAGCGTTGGAGTTCGAGGAGTGACCTTATAGAGGCTTATAAAATCATGACGGGTACAGATAACTTCAACCACTTGACCAGCTTCATTCCCAAGGACTATATCTAGCACTGTCCCATCTCCAGTAGGACTATCTGTATACGAACGCAGAAAGCTCTTCTGGATAAACTTTAAAAATTCAAGCCTGTCTAATCCTTTCCGATCCCAGGTAATGTTAGCAAAGTTGAAATCCCCAACAACTATAACCATGTTCCTCACTCGCATCTCTATGACCTACATATCTGCTCCCGTCTCCCCCTCTGACTGTTGGGAGGCTTTTAGGATAATCTCAACAAGATAATCACGCCGTTTTTTTATTTCTAAGCTCAGATGGCCTCATTTGAAGACTCTTCTAGGACATCCTCCCTCATTTTTCTACTATCTACTAGATACAGACTTACTCTATCTAACCTCATGTTGTCCCTGCCCTGGAAATGTTTGATGGGGGACAATGTAAAAGGAGTTTACCTTCAGTTCAAAAGAGTATATGATGCTTTACTTTGTGTCTAATCCTATGCTGTGCCCGTCCTGGGAGTATTTGTTCAAGACCCACATGTTGCCATGGGGATATTTTCAATATTATTGATATCTGTTATTTGGCACACATCTAAATTGATGAGGAAACCCAAGTTATAGAGAAGTCACTGAGTGCCCATTGTGACCATTTATCTTTCTTCACTTATCCAGGATCTCCTATGATGAATACAAGGAGACGGCTGACTGGTTAATGGCCCAGATTACAATCCAACCAAAGATAGCAGTGATCTGTGGATCTGGCCTCGGGGGCCTCGCTGATTTACTGAGCAACCAGGTCATCATTCCGTATGAGAAGATCCCCCGCTTCCCAAAGAGTACAGGTTAGTTCAGAATGTGATCAGCATCAATACTGACACACTGTGAGTCAGACAGTGTGCATGCCTGACATCCGGTCACTCCCCAGTCCCTGCTGTCGCTTCAGGGGTCAGGAACCAGCTTTGATTATAACCCAAGAAACTGACAGATTGGGATGAGGGAGAAAAAGTGGCTTCTGGAGTTTTCCCTCATTGGATAAACTGTACATGCCAGGGACAGTGATTAATGACCATTAACGGTCAGAGCTAGAGTCATAGAGTTATACAGCACGGAAACAGACCCTTCGATCCAACTCGTCCATGCCAACCAGATTTCCCAAATTGATCTAGTCCCATTTGCCAGCATTTGGCCCATATTCCTTTGAACCCTTCCTACTCATATACCCATTCAGATGCCGTTTAAATGTTGTAATTGTACCAGCCTCCACCACTTCCTCTGGCAGCTCATTCCATACACGCACCACCCTCTGTGTGAAAATGTTACCCCTCAGGTCCCTTGTAAATCTTTCCCCTCTCACCTTAAACCTGTGCCGTCTAGTTTTGGACTCTCCCACCCTGGAAGATGAAACCTCGTCTATTTACCCTATCCACGACCCTCATGATTTTATAAACCTCTATAAAGTCATTCCTCAGCCTCTGACAGTCCATGGAAAATAACCCTGGCAACATCCTTGTAAATCTTTTCTGCACCCTGTCGTGTTTAACAACATTCACTTGAGGTTTGACGGTAATGTTTGATTCTACCCACTAAATCTGGCGAAACTGTTTTAGTTTCAGGTCATGCTGGCAGGCTGGTCTTTGGGGAGCTCCACGGGAAGCAGTGTGTCTGTATGCAGGGCCGTTTCCATTTCTATGAGGGTTACCCAATCAATGAGGTAAGTGTTTGTCTCGCTCTGTACTCTCCTGGCAGCCATTTGGTAAGATCTGAAACACGGCAGGTTCAGGCCCCGAGGACAAAGACAGGCCTTGTCTTAATCACTAGCCCAGGACCCCCTGTTAATGTCAGAGTCCTGGCTCCACTAGCCAACCAGCTCCCAGCACCATCACCAGCCAACCCTGGCCAGCTAGCTGTCGGGTGGGATCTCTCACGCTTCATACAGGTATCCTGAGCCCATGTCATTACCTCGCCTCCTCATCACCGCTCTCTCCGGCCCTCATCATTGCTCCTGCCCCCTCATCACTGTCCCCTACCACTTGATCACTAACAATGCCACACCCCCCCCCCCCCGCCCCAAACAGTTTCGGGACATCTCAATGTCACTTTGGCTAGTCCCGGAGTTTGGCGGAGACGCACCTCCCTCTAACACACGCCAATGCATTGTTCATCCTCCACAAATGTGAGCTCATCCAAAACTCTGCTGCTCGCATCCTGCTTCAGGACAAGTCCAGTTGCCCCCTTCACCTTGTGTGCTCATTGACCTGGTTAAGCAGCACCTCTTTTTTTTTCAAAATCTACTCCTTTCTTTTTGAAACCTCAGATCATCTTCTCCCCCCACCACCATTTCTGTGACCCAGTCCGGTCCCACCACTAGCCCCTGACCCCAATTTCATTGCCAGTCATGCTTCTTAGTTGCCTGGACCCTAACCTCTCCGTCTCACTTTAAAGGCATTTGTCAGGCTTGTGACCTCTGACTGAACATCTCCTTAATGGCTCAGTGTCATAACTTTACTATCATGGTGCTCCTATGAAGCATCTTGCTCGGTTTCTCCAGCATTTTCAGCTTTGTTCAGTGGGCCAGTTCCTCATATGTGTATTGCCAACACTGCATGTACTCTAATAGATTCCACCATTATTGTAACTGTAAAATGTTCCACTATTGCCAGGCCTGTACCCCATTCCACATTTACCAGGGCTGTAGCAAATTCTATCATTGCCAGCATTATAACAGATTCCACCATTATTTACACTGGTAATAGCTTCCACTGTCACCAGGGGAACAACACATTCCATTAACAGCAGCCTAAGAGATTCCAATTCCGGGAATGTAATTATCTTTACTGCTTATTCACAGGTAACCTTCCCTATTCGTGTTTTTCATCTGATGGGGATTGAGACTCTGATCGTAACCAATGCCGCGGGAGGTCTGAATGAAGAATTTAATGTCGGTGACATCATGTTCATTAATGACCATATCAATATGCCCGGCTTCGCAGGACTGAACCCACTGAGAGGCAGCAATGAGGACAGGTGAGTTACAGAGGACCATTCATTCTATGTAGGGAGCACAATTAGTCATTTATAAATAAGTTCTTCACCTCCACCCCACAATTCTCTTTCATAAAACCTATTACTCACCAACATATACTCACCTTCTCTTGTAGCCACTGCATTTACATGGCTAGTTCAGTTGAGTTTCTGGTCAACGGTAACCCCACAGGATGTTGACAGTGGGGGATTGATAACACCATTGAATGCCCCGGGGCGGTGATTAGATTCTCTCTTATTGGAAATGGCTATTGCCTGGTATTTGTGTAGTGCAAATATCATCCTAACTTGCGGTGTGACTATCTCCTTCAGTGTGTTATCCATGTAGTTCTCTATCCATGGATACACAACAGTGTCTCCACCTGCCACTCATGTTATGTAAAACCTATGTAGCCATGATATTTACTGTAGGTGTGTTCATCAGGGACACATGGTGCGACCATGACTTCATATCACAGGATGTGCATTCCACTTGGCTAAGCTGACCTGCCAACCGTAACTTTTCAAAGCTATTTATTTCAGTTAGAACAGGAGAAATCATAACAGTACTCAGGAATCAGTTCTTCCCTTTCTCAAACTAAGAGCCAGCTGCAAGAGGCTGAAAACAGTTGACGAGAAAAGGAGCATCCCTCCCTGCTTCGTGGAACTCTTTCTAATTCACCAAGCTGCTACCTTACGGGATTTGCAAAGCTAATTTCATTGCAGATAAGGCAGCACCGAGGAACGCGTCTGCTTACACTTTACCGAAACAACTAACAATCTTCAAAAACCAGACTAATCCAGCCATGGGGAGGCAATATCCCAGTGGTATCATCGCTGGACTGTTAAGCCAGAGGCCCAGCTAATGTCTTGGGGAACCCAGGTCCGAATCCCGCCATGGCAGATGGTGGAATTTGAATTCAATAAAATATCTGGAACTAAGAATCTAAGATCCCTGAAGAAGGGTCTAGGCCCGAAACGTCAGCCTTCCTGCTCCTCTGATGCTGCTTGGCCTGCTGTGTTCATCCAGCACTACACCTTGTTATCTAAGAATCTAATGATGACCATGAGTCGATTGTCAAGACAAACCCATCAGGTTCACTAATGTCCTTTAGGGAAGGAGACTGCCATCCTTACCTGGTCTGGCCTACATGTGACTCCAGACCCACAGCAATGTGGTTGACTCTCAACTGCCCTTTGGGTGATTAGGATGGGCAATAAATGCTGCCTAGCCAGCGACGCCCTCATCCTGTGAATGAATAAAAAAAACTAATGTTTTTATTCACTCGTGGGATGTGGGCATCTCTGGCTGGGTCAGCATTTACTGCCTGTCCCTAGTTGCCCTCGAGAAGGTGGTGGTGAGCTGCATCTTGAACCACTACAGACCATGTGCTGTAGGTTGACCCACAATGCAAGTAGGGAGGGAATTCCAGGATTTTGACCCAGTAACAGTGAGGGAATGGCGATATATTTCCAAGTCAGGATGGTGAGTGGCTTGGAGATGAATTTGCAAGTGGTGGTGTTGACACGTATCTGCTGTCCTTGTCCTTCAAGGTGGAAGTGGTTGTGAGTTTGTGATGTGCCATCTGAGGATCCTTGGTGAATTTCTGCAGGGCATTTGTAGATAGTACACACTGCTGCTACTGAGCGTCAGTGGTGGAGGGAATGGATGCTTGTGGATACAGTGCCAATCAAGCGGGCATGTCAAGCTTCTTGAGTGTTGTTGGACCTGCAGTCATCCAGGCAAATGGGGAGTATTCCATCACGCTCCTGCCTTGTGCCTTGTAGATGGCGAACAGGCTTTGGAGAGACAGGAGGCGAGTTACTCGCCGCAGTATTCCTAGCTTCTGGCCTGCTCTTGTAACCACTGTGTTTATATAGCTAGTTGAGTTCAGTTTCTGGTCACTGATAAGCCTAGGATGTTGATAGTGGGGGTTCAGTGATGGCAATGCTATTGAATGGGGTGGTGGTTAGATTCTCTCTTATTGGTGATGGTCATAGCCTGGCATTTGTATGGCATGGATGTTACTTACCACTTGTCAGCCCAAGCCTGGATATTGTCCAGATCTTGTTGCATTTGCGCATGGACTGTTTCAGTATCTGAGGAGTCGCAAATCGTGCTGAACATTGTGCAATCATCGGTGAAAATCTCCACTTCTGACCTTATGATGGAGGGAAGCTCATTGCTGAAGCAACTGAAGATGGTTGGGCCTAGGACACCACCCTGAGGAACTCCTGCAGAGGTGTCCTGGTGCTGAGATAACTGACATCCAACAACCACAACCATCTTCCTGTGTGCCAGGTATGAGCCCAAGCAGCAGAGAATTTGTCCCTGATTCATATTGATTCCAGTTTTGCTAGGGCTTCTTGATGCCACACTCAGTTGAATGGAGCCTTGATGTCAAGCGCTGTCACTCACACCTCACCTCTGGAATTCAGCTCTTTTGTCCATGTTTGAACCAAGGCTGTAATGAGGTCAGGAGCTGAGTGGCCCTGGCAGAACCCAAACTGGGCATCACTGAGCAGGTGCAGCTTGATAGCACTGTTAGTGACACCTTCCATCACTTTACTGATGATCAAGAGTAGACTGATGGAGCAGTAATTGGTCGGGTTGGATTTGTTCTGTTTTTTGTTGTGTACAGGACATACCTGAACAATTTCCACATTATTGGGTAGATGCCAGTGTTGTAGTTTTCCTGGAACAGCTTGGCTAGGGATGCGGCAGGTTCTGGAGCACAAGTCTTCAGTACTATTACCGGAATGTTGTCGGGGCCCGTAGCCTTTGCAGTATCCACTGCTTCCAACCATTTCTTGATATCAAGTGGAGTGAATTGTATTGGTTGAAGACTGGTATGTGTAATGGGATCACTGGAGGAGGCCGAGATGGATCATTCATTCGGTACTTCTGGCTGAAGATTGCTGCGAATGCTTCAGCCTTATCTTTTGCACTGATTGGCTCTTCCATCATTGAGGATGGGGATATTTGTGGAGCCTCCTCCTCCAGTGAATTGTTTAATGGTTCCCCACCATTCACACTGGATGGGGCAGGATTGCAGAGCTTAGATCTGATCCGTTGGTTTTGGGATCACTTAGCTCTGTCTATCCCTGCTAGACCTTCTCTCGAAGCTTGTATTTAAAGCTGCACTTAAAACTCAAAATATAGTGCTGAATGAAAGCAAAAACTAGATTTTATATTTAAAAATTAGCCCTTAAGACTCTCAGCTCACAGTGTAGACAAGTCACCTCTCTATCCTGGTTACCCTAACCCTAGTTCACAGTTCATGTAAAATTCTCGATCATATTACAGGGATATCTCAATGTACTGCAGGGAATGTCTCTGTATTTTTGGGGGATATTTCAAGATACGTTAGGGAGAATTCTTAGTGTATTTTGGGAGGATGTCTTGGTGTATTTTAGGCAGATATTTTGGTGTGTTATGGGGGATATAAAGATATTTTGGGTGGCTATCTCTATATATTTTAGAGGGATATCAATATATTTAAGAGGAATATCTGAATATATTCAGATGTGTACGTGATGTATACACATCTATGTATTCTGAGAGACATTAATATATTTTAGGGGAATATCTCAGTGCATTTTCGGGGGATACCTCTGAATTTGGGAGGCTATCTCGGTTATTTGGGGATGATTTTGGAATCATTTTTCTGGAATCTGGCAGTGTGTTGTGGAGGGACAGTGTGATATGTTTCGGGAAGCTCCCCGCAGTGGTTTCAATACTGACCCTCTCCGCCTGCTGTTCCTTTTGCAGGTTCGGCGTGCGGTTCCCATGCATGTCAGATGCCTACGACAAGACCCTTCGGCAGATAGCCTTTAAATGTGCCCAGGAGCTGGGCTATCAGGATTTTATCCGAAGCGGGGTGTATTGCATGCTGGCCGGGCCCTCATATGAGACGGTTGCCGAGTCTCACTTGTTGAAGAAACTGGGAGCAGACGCCGTTGGTGAGATCCTTATCTAACTGACAAAGAAATGCAAAAGTCTCACGTGAACAAGAGCCCTCCAAACTCTCCGATAACTCATAGAGTCACACAGCACGGAGACACACCCTTCATTCCAACCAGTCCACACCAATCACAATCCCAAACTAAATTAGTCCCACCTGCCCGCACTTGGCCCATGTCCCTCCAAATATTTCTTATTCATGTACTTTTCTAAATGCCTTATAAACAATGTACCTGCATTCCTATGAAAGTTCATTCCACACAAGAACCACTCTCTGTGCAAAAAAAAATTGCCCCTCATATCTTTTTTAAATCTTTTTCCTCTCACCTGAAAAGCATGCTGCCAGTCTTGAAATTCCCCCACCCTAGGGAAAAGACACCTGCCATTCACTTTATCTACACCCCTCATGATTTTATAAAACTCTGTAAGGTCACCCCTCGACCTCCTAAACTCCAGTGAAAAATGTCCCAGCGTATCCAGCCTGTCCTTATAACTCAAACCCCGTTCCTGGCAGCATTCTGACAAATCTCTTCTGAGCCCTCTCCAGCTTAATAATATCCTTCCTGTAACCAAGTCAGAAGTCACACGACACCAGGTTATAGTCCAACAGGTTTATTTGAAATCACAAGCTTTCAGAGTTCTGCTTCTTCACTTGATGAAGGAGGAGCACCCCGAAGGCGTGAGATTTCAACTAAACCTGTTGGCCTATAACCTGGTACTGTGTGATTTCTGACCTTGTCCATCCCAGTCCAACACCGGCACTTCCACATGATGGCTTCCTATAACAGGGAGACCAGGACTGGACACAGTACTCCAGAAGAGGCCTCACCAATGTTCTGCACAAGTTCAACATAACATCTCAACTCATATCCACAAAGGTCTGAGCAACGAAGGCAAGCATGCCAAACGCCTTCTTAACCGCCCTATCCATATGAGATGCAAACTTCAAAGAACTATGTCCCTGAACCCCAGCTCTGTTTGTTCTACAACACCAGCCAAGGCCTGACTTTTAATTGTATAAGTCCTGTCCTTGTTAGTTTTACCAAAATGCAACATCTCACATTTATCCAAATTAAACTCCATCTGCCACTCCGCAGCCCATTAACCCAATTGATCAAGATCTCTTTGTAATCTTAGATAACCTTCTTCAGTGTCCGCTATACCACCAATCTCAGTGTCGTCCGCAACCTATATTCTCATCTAAATCATTTATATAAATAACAAACAAAAATGGATCCAACACCAATCCCTGTGGCCTCCAGTCTGAAAAACAGCCCCTCACCACTAATCCCACTCTGCAGCAGCACTACACCCAGGCACACTCCCTGCCAACCAAGTCCCACATAAAAACCCCTGACAACACACACACACACACACCTCCACACCCGACCCAGAGCTCCCACCCAAACACACCCCTTCACATCCACTCCCTCCCACCCAAACACTCCCCTCTTACATCCTCACCCCATCCAAACACACCCCCACACTTACCCGCTGTACACCAGCATTAGACCCCACCAGGTCTCCCCTGCTCATCTCAGTGGGTATGCCTCAAAGGGGTCAATGTAAGGTCAGTGTGCCTCTGTACTATGTCTAGATAAATCCTCCTCCAAGCTCCCAAGGTGGGAAAATGCCAGTGGACTGTGTGGCACCATACCAGACAGAGTAAGGAAGTTGAAGGTTCCATGCCCTGTGTTGAGTTGGGAACCCCATGTGAAGGGAGACTGGAGTGGAGCAGCTGCCTAAGATCTGATGGGCTGCAGCAGAGATGGGTGCTACAGTCAGTCTCAGTGTCACTGGGCTAGATTGGGGACTAAGGTCGTACATTCAAACACACCTGGCCTGTCTTTAGCCAGTTCTGGAGGAATCACACACCAGATTCAAAAGGTTAATGGTGTTTCTCTCTCTACAGATGCTGCCAGACCTGTTGAGTTTCTCCAGCGTTCTCCATGCTTGTTTCAGGTTTCCAGCGGCCATAGTATTTTGCCTTTCTTTATAACCACAATGGCCTGAGATTCATGAGCGGACATATTACCTCCTACCCCTCTTCACCAGCAGCTCCTCCTGATCCTGGGGCCAGGAAAAGAAACCAGGCTCAAATCTGACTGTATTTTCTTCACAATTTGCCAGCGTCTCAATGTAACCAGTAATGCATCCCCCTCTCTTCCCCAGAACCCCCTCCCCCACTACACCTCCCACAGCCTCAGGCAGGGGGCATGCCTGATTGATTAGCACCTGATCTCTCCTGACAATGAGTTAGGGATTGGCCTATGAAGCCCGAGTGAATGGGACCATTCTGCCAAAGAGGAACATTTTGATTACAGGCCTCCATTTCTGGAAGCAGGTTGCCACGTCAATGACGAATGTTTTTGTTCAGGTATTCCAGCTGCAATTGCCTTAGTCTGAATAAAGCCAAGATTGGTGTGAAACTATTTGCTCTCAAATCGATCCCTGATTTGACACGCTTAGTCACTGGGCACCTGAGGAGCAGAGTAGGCCTCAGGCCTTTGGCCAATGTTGCTGATAATTTAGGATCTGGCAGCCTACTGTCAGCTGTAGAGGGCCCTCCTTGGATACCACCGAGTCCATTAATGTCTCTGTCGTCCCCATTCATAGTTTAGGTGCAACTATTTAACAAAACAGTGTCAGATGGAGTTTAATTTAGATAAATATGAGGTACTGCATTTTGGAAAGGCAAATCAGGGCAGGACTTCTACACTTAGTGGTAAGGTCCTGGATAGTGTTGCCAAACCAAGAGACCTTGGAGTGCAGGTTCATAGTTCCTTGAAAACAGAGTAGCAGGTAGTGAAGAAGGCGTTTGGTATGCTTTGCCTTTATTGGTGAGTGCATCGACTGTAGGAGTTGGGAGGTCATGTTGCAGCTGTACAGGACATTGGTTAGGCCACTTTTGGAATACTGTGTCCAATTGTGGTCTCCCTGCTATAGGAAAGATGTTGTGAAACCTGAAAGGGTTCAGTAAAGATCGAGAAGGATGTTGCCAGGGTTGGAGGGTTTGAGCTGTAGGGAAAGTCTGAGTAGGCTGGAGTTATTTTCCCTGGAGTGTCAGAGACTGAGGGGTGACCTTATAGAGGTTTATAAAATAATGAGGGGCATGGATGGGGTGAATAGTCAAGGTCTTTTCCCCAGGGTGGGGGAGTTCAAAACTAGAGGGCATAGGTTTAAGGTGAGAGGGGTAAGATTTAAAAGGGATGTAAGGGGCAACCTTTTCACACAGAGGGTGGTGTGTGTATGGAATGAACTGCCAGATGAGGTGGTGGAGGCTGGTACAATTACAACATTTAAAAGGCATCTGGATGAATACATGAGTAAGAAGGGTTTAGAGGGCTATGGGCAAAGTGCTGGAAAATGGGACTAGATTAATTTAGCTTATCTGATCAGCATGGACGAGTTGGACCAAAGGGTCTGTTTCCATGCTGTACATCCCTATGACCCTATAACACAGGAGACTCCAGTGAAGAGAGCTCGGTTACCTTAGTGATCAAGGGCCAGGGAGAAAAAGACCAAAGGAGATTAAAAAATAAAATCAAAATCATTCCGGAAAGAGTATAATGTTAGTGCTGCACCAGACCTTGGGTCAGCTCCAGTAGGAACAGTGAATCAGGGTGTAAACGTTGTTATAAACCACAGTGTGGGTTAAACCAGCCTGAGGATTGCCACTAACTTTGAAGACATGAGAAAGCAGTTAATGATCAAAAAATAACTCATCCCTTCAAGTTCTTGCGCACTCCGTACAACTCGGGGAATTTTGCAATGCTCTGTTGAAAGCAGATTGATTAAAATTTTCAAAAGAGAATTGGATTAAAAAAACTCGAAAACTTGCAAGTCCACAGGTTGGGAGCAGTAATGATGGGACTGATTAGCTGGGTGTTTTCAAAGGCATGATGGGCTGAATGGCCTCTTACTGTCCTGGGAGATTAATGGTGTTACAGACTCTTCTCAGCAGATCCTTGATCATATCAGCCCAGCTCCACTGTCCCAGCACTGAGCCGCCCCACTTCATATATGGCACTCTCCAACCCTAGCACCATGAAGTCTCCACGTGGCCATCTCACTCACTGCACTTTGAATCCATGATTTTCCAGTCTGGATCTGACCCTGACTTTTATCCCTGTCTGACTTGAGATCCTCATCAGCTGCTTTGGTTGAAAGCCTGCCCCTGAATCTGAAGAAAGAATGCTCCTAATCCCTAATGTTGTTCGTGACTAGTTCATTTGAAACCTGTTAGTTTGTATCTAAGGAACTTGATTTTTGGCAGAGTAAGAGAATCAAGGGTCATCTCTTGTGGGTGAGTCCTAGAATCACAGACCATAGAGAGTTACAAACTTCGCCTCAAGATTTCCGTGAATGTTCGATCATCGACCCTGAATAATGAAACAGAAAAACACGACTTCTCAATAAACCTTATTGACATACAGTCTCACAATCCTGTTCTGACATTCAATTTGATCCTGGCTTATTTCTGTCTTAGCTCTGTCTATCCACCTTGTGTCTCTGATCATTGATAAACTTATTGAAAAAAAATCTCAGTTTTGAACTTTACGATTCACCCCTACGTTAAGCAGCTTTTTTTTTCTGTGGGAGAGAGCTCCAGATTTCCACAATAGCTTTGAGTGAATAAATACTTCTTGACATTGCCCTGAATTAATTCCAAATTTATCCCCTCGTGGCTTTCCACCAGTTTAAGTCATTTGGGTAATCACATTAAACATTTCAATTTGAACAGTCTTTAATTTTCTATCCTCAAATGAATACAGTGATTTATTTCTTGTTGTTTAAATTGATGTTTTAAGTTTGTTCGTGGGACGTGCAGCATTATTGCCTGTCCCTAGTTGCCCTTGAGAAGGTGGTGGTGAGCTGTCTGTTTGAACCACTGCAATCCATGTAGGTTGGGAGGGAATTCCAGGATTTTGATCCAGCAACAGTGAAGGAACAGTCAGGATGGTGAATGGCTTGGAGCGGTGGTGTTCTCATGCATCTG